GTCCCAACATTAGCATCCTCATTGAGGCGAGCGTAGTACTCCTTCTGGAGAAACTCAGGGCGGTTATCATTGACATCCATCACTGTAATAGTTACACTTGCTGTAGCAGAAAGCGGGGGCATTCCATAATCTCTGGCCTCCACTCCAAAGAAATAATGCTCCACAGATTCTCTGTCCAGAATGGATTTAACAGTGACCCAGCCTGTGGCAGCATTGATGATGAAGGGCGTGTCAGAGCTGGTGCCCGTCAACCTGTACTCCAGGCGGGCATTGTCACCTGAATCTGTATCAATGGCCTGGATGTGGAGGATGGAGCTGCCAACTGGTGCACTCTCAAGCACAGAGGCCTGGAACGGCGTGGAGACAAAGATGGGCGGGTTGTCATTCACATCCGTAACCTGGATACTCACAATCCCAGTGTTGTTAGAGAGAGGCGGTCGGCCGTTGTCCTGTGCGCGAACGCGAAGCGTATACTCGCGTTCGGACTCGTAGTCTAGTGGCGCCACCACCTGAATTTCACCAGTGACACTGTCGATGGAGAACTGACCTCGGCTGTTACCGCTGATGATGTTGTAGTGAACTGCAGCGTTACTGTCCTTGTCCCGGTCTGTAGCACTGACACGCAGGATCTCAGTGTGGGGCCGTACATCCTCCTTCACCGCCACCACGTAGCGTTTTTCACTGAACTGTGGAACATTGTCATTTTCATCCAGCACGGTTATAAATACTTTGACAGAGGCAGAGCGCGGTCCAGGGTCCTTCCCCTGGTCACTGGCCTCCACCTGTAGAGTATAGTGTTCATTTACTTCTCTGTCAACTGCTCCACGTGTCGTAATGAGGCCAGAGCGCGGGTCAATTTCAAAGGCTGAGCGTGCCGTTACCGCACTGTCACCAATGAAACGGTAACGAATATTGGCGTTGGGTTGGGAGTCGGAATCTGTTGCTCTGAGTTGTAAGATGGGATAGCCTTCCTCCACGTTCTCCCTGATTGTCTCCCTGTACTCTGTCTGTTCAAATATGGGAGAATGGTCGTTCCGGTCAGACACCGTAATAGCCACCATCGTGGTGCCAGAGAGTCGAGGAGAGCCGTAATCAGTAGCTGTGATCCGGAAGTAATGCAGATCCATGTGTTCTCTGTCAAGGATCTGAGTGGTGGTGATGAGGCCTGTGTCTTGGTGGATGTGGAAATAGTCAGATGAGCGACTGTTCATTAGTGGGGACATTGTGTAACTCACTCGACCTGCGTCTCCTGCATCTTGGTCTGTAGCGGACATAATAATGACGGATGTTCCAGGAGGCTGGTTTTCAGCCACTTGTACTTGGTAGTTATACAGGGAGAAATGAGGATGTCTGTTGGCCGCACGACGGGACCGAGACCAGGGCATCAAGGTTTTTCTTTCCACTTCTTCCTGTGAGGTTTCATCCTCTGCTACTATTATCAGTTTCTCCAGACTCCTCTCTCCCCTTGAGCTGTGCCTCTCCTCATCATGTTTCTCTCTCCCAAGCTCTCCCCCATGGTACCTTTCATCTACCTGCTTCTCTTTCTGCCCCCTTTTGCTATCTGACTGTATAATGCCGGTGGTGCTAGTGCCCCTCTCCTGACCCTTTCCTTCCTCGACCTCTCTCTGCTCCGCCTGCCGTGATTTTGTTATCCCTCTTCTCCTCTCCCACTCCTCCCCTTTCTCTTTCCCCTCTCCTTCTGGATCTCTCCCTCTTATCAGCCCCGCCTCTATTTCACCCTCCCCCACCTGTAATTTTCCTCCCCCAGCAGCAACAGCAGCAGACCCCTCCAAACCCTCTCCCTCCCACTCTCCCTCCTTCTCTCTGCCTCCACCCTCGGCCCCCATCTGCTGCATATCTGACTGTCTAACACCTTCAAGCTCTAATGGCACTTGCTTACCGGGTTTTAATTGCATAAGTGCGTGGTCTCTGTGCTCAGTGGCTGAACAGTCACTACATACTGTTTGGTCCACGTCCCACAGTGCACTGTCCCACCGGTCTTTCCGACTGTGTCGTGAAGATTTCTCCATTTCAGCATCTTGACTCCCTTCAAATGCCTCTCTCATTTCCTTCTCTTCTGCATTGTTGTTGTTATTGTTGTTGTTATTGTTAGTGTTAAATCCGCTCCATAAAAACACATGCAGAGAGCTGTGTGGAGCTGTCCATGGTTCTGAAACCTCCTCCTCTTCTACTTGCCATGTGGTGACATTTGCAGTGAGGTGATGGGATTTTTCAGCACTTGCAGTGGGAGGATGAGCTGACACAACGTGGTGTGACTTAGCAGAAAACTCAGAAGGTGAGAGAAACCCTGAGTCACCGGCCGGTTCTGTCTCAGAAGTTTCTACAGTTTCACCAGACAGTCGGAGCTCTTCAGTTGATGTTTCACTTACTGCACATTTGACTGTGTGTCTTTTAGTGGTGAGAGCGGTGGTTGGGAAATTGAATTTGAATTTCTGAAATGCACTGTTGCTGGATGAAAAATGCTGGCCATGCGTCTCAGTCATGTTGCTGGGGGGAAATTGGTTGGGGAGATTCCTGTGAGCTATGTCTCCCCCGGGGACTATAAAATCAGCTAAACATCCATCCCCCATCCCTACTCCGTCAAAACTGCCGAAACAAGCAGCAGGGAATTCCCTGCACTCTTCTCTCTGGGTTTGCCTGCTCTGCCCTGCAGTTTCTACTGCTGATTTCCCCCGGCAAAGCTCATTACCACTCCTGCATTGGAGCCTCCAAATCAGAAAAGACGAAATATGACCCGGATAATCAGATAAATTAATCTGTTGGTTACCTCGGTTCTTCGTTTGGGCGTCTTTAATATCTCTGAGCTCCTCATTACACCTTATCCTGACACAGTTGTACCTAATCTTGGTATCACAGAGAGATGCCCCACACCAGTCTATATGCCCCCTGGTACCAGGGTTAATCACTGTGCAATGCCTGGTTGCTTCCTCCCCATCCTCCTCCTGCCTCTCACACCTCAGCTCCCTCCCCTTCATGCACCCAGTCAAACAGCTATCATCACTGCACTCTCTGTTGCTGCTGGGATCGATAACATTGTGCCTGCCAAAATGAGAACAATTACCGGTCCTTCTGTGCGCTCTGGCCGAGCCCCAGTCGGCAACACGAGCCATGTGGCTGTTGCTGCTGGTCCTGTAGCCTGGATTTGTTTTATCCTTGAAACCGATCAGGGGTGAGTTGAAGAGTGGAGGAAACAGGGCGTGATTCAACTTTGACCGTTGTTTTGTGAACCCAGGGACTGGTTTGATGGACAGATAAACACCTAATGAACTGTGGTATCCAAAAAGATGACATATGGAACCTGAAGAGCCGGCTGGCGAGGTCACGTCTGAGGCAGAGTGCGAAGGTAAACACCAGCAGAGATGCTCGGATGTCAGAGAGAACCATGAACCCACAGGCTTCTTCACCTCAGGAGCCCTCTCCGCCTCCTCTCCCTCTCTCTCCCCTCCACTTCCGGGTGGCCTGCACAGGCCAGAGGCGTGCACAAAGACTGTTGCGGCGCCACGTTCGGCGAGGTGTGGCCTTGACGCCGACCACCGTTGCGCGCACGTTCTGGTCCTTTGTAGTACTGCCCGTGATTCCCGGTGTTGAACCGGCGATGAACTGAAAGGAGCTGCGCCGGCAGGGGAAACAACGCCCCGGTCCTCCATCCTCCTCCCACCGTCACCACCTCTGTCCAAGCCGACGCCATCTGAGCGTTTACCTGAGGCCAGAGGGGGAGAGGGTGGTAATAGTGCCGGTGAGCCGGCTCCACTCCTCCAGCTCCTACCGGCTTGTTTCAGTCTTGTCCAATTCACGTGAAAAACTCCTCCTGCTCCCGGTACTCCGGAGCATCCTTCAGTCTGTATCCACTCCACGACCCACCTGAGTGGCTGTAGATCCCAGCTGCCACTCTGCGCTCGGTCTGTCTCCTCACTCCGCTGCTCCTGCTGCCGCTGCTCCTGGCTCACTTTTCCGGCGTCTCGATAGCAGAGGCCGGGGGTCCACTGGGTGGAAGCCCCTCCTGAGATCTCCGTCCCCGGGGTTAAGGCAAACAAAGGGCCGAGGAGAAGCAGGTGGAGCACCAGAGACGAGAGCAGGAGCGGGGTGAAGCCCGACAGCAGTGCAGCCATTTAGTCTTTTCCTTTCTCTCCTTCTGTCTCCTCCTTTCTCCCTCGTCCACCTCCGTCTCTTCTATTACACTCTCTCCCTCTCTCCTTCTCTTTCCTTACGTCCGCCACTTCTCTTCTCCCTCCTCGTTCCGGCTAAGTGGCCAGTTCCAGGACCGCCGGCACCGCCCGACACCTTTCCCCAGGCTCCTCCGTCTCTCCGTCGGCCTGAAGAGTTGGCATCTACCCGCTGTGCTCCTGTGGGGAGCAGGAGGTGTGAGGAGCGTTAGTGGCGGCGCGGCGTGAGCAGCAGCATCTCTCCTCGTGTTCGTTCACGTCCAACATGGCTCACACACTCACACAGACTGGCTGGCTGGCTTCCACACTATCCTCCGCTTCAATGTGTGTGTGTGTGTGTGTGTGAGAGAGAGAGAGAGAGAGAGGGAGACGCAGCACAGCCCGGTGATACAGGCCACTCTCCATCCATCCGCGCACGCAAACGCACAGTCACACACACATTCTCCTCCTCCTTCTCTCTCTTTTCCATTTGCACCCCTCCCCCTAATGGATTGCATCTCTCTCCCTCTCCCCCNATCTGGTGCGCAAGGCATCAGCCCTACCAACAACTGGAACATGAAATGGAAATTACCATCATGTAGGATTTATACCTAGGAAAGCCTGTAGAGTCGTCCGTTCCTAGAACTATTACAAAAGACAGCAGCTGCCGGAGGAGGAGGAGGAGGAGGAGGAGAGTGGACTGAATCCAAAACGTTCTGTTTAGGCATAGAAACAAATTTGATAAATCTTGACAAACTATTTCACCCCCCCCTGGAAACAAGTCTCCACTTTATCCTGAAGCTAAATCAATATTCAACCATTTAAGAATGAGACAAAAGAACTAAGAACACCGAGAGATGGGACTGAAAGGCACTTAGTTAAAGCAAGATTTATAATAAATCATTAATAATATATTCATTATCAACGAATAAAACCTATTGATTTTCAAATCAAGTCTAAAGTCTGTACTTCAGACATAGTCGTGCTGTGATCATCAGGCTGCACGCACTGTGTTCCAGTCATTGTCAGCTCTCGTAGGAGTGACGTCATTTACTATCAGCGGTGAGTAATTCGGGAGAGAGAGGGTGAGAGAGAGAGAGGGGAGGTGGGGGGGACTAGCAGTTTCCAGAGGTAGAATAAATCCACCTACAGTATAGATCACGCTCTCTGTGGACAGCCATTCATTTGCTGTTCCACTAAAACCTATTACACAGGATTTCTGGGATTTATTACTAGGAGACACGTGACGCGCACCATCATCCCAATTTGATGCTAATTTACGCACGGCCAAATGGACGCATTCATTTCCTGATACTTGTTGAAGTAAAATCACATTATGCAAAGTAGCCCATAAACACATTTCCTCCAACAATCTCCTCCATTCAACCCCAGTGTGTGATACAGACGGGCTGGTGCAGGTTTTCTAATGACACCGCCTGGAATTAGACATGACTGTGTCTGTGGTTGGTTGATGGGTGGAGACGCAGAGGGCGTGTCAGGCGGAGGCGCACGTTCTACAGGCACTCAATTGTATTTTCCCTGTTTCTGCCTCTGCGCGGTGGTGTGGCTGATGTCGGCCGGTTCTGTTCGCTGTTGTGATGACAACATGTGATTTCTGACATTGCTGAGAGTCTGGTATAGTTATTATAACCAAACCTCAGTTTGTTTCAGTCACGGACAACCACTAAAACGGTGGAATAAAATTAGCTGTTAACACTAAGGTATAGAACTACGATTATTACAGTTGTGATATAAAAAAGAAACCATAAGAAAATTAATCTGAACTATTGTGCTATTTAAAAACAGCGGTGGTGGTTTATTAAATATTTATGGGGCACAAAGGGGGGGGGCAGGAATTATTGAGGGGTGGTAACATATGTCAGTTGTGGGGGTTGAAATTGGGAACCGGTTCAATTCCTAGGGATTGTAATTCTTCCTGTATTAGAGTTCCTCTAACTGGTTCCCTAGACTGTTTGATGATGTTATAGTTGTGTGATGACATCACACGGTTTTTAGCTTTCATCAAGAATTTTGTTTTTTGCTTTACTTTCATAAAGACACCACATTATTATTACTACCAGCATCATAAGCAGTTAAGCACTTTTTGTTCCCATCTCCCACAGGTTTGTAGCCCAGGTTTCAGAGCCCATTTCTCATTGGTTAATCCTCCAAGCTCACTGAAATATTAATAGTCTTCAGGCATTGACTTTGTCCTTCAGTTCATTTTGGATTTTCTTGGTGATTTAGGTCACGGCAGTGTGAAGGAGAGTCCGTTCCACCCCAGTCAGAGAAGCCTGTATTTCCCAGCCAATACCTCCGATACTTTACTGTTAAAGTGTGAAATTTAAATTTGCAATACCTACATTATTAAAATAACAGATGCCGAGAAGAAGACGCAGCAGCGATCTTCAGCACGTGTGTTTTATACAGCTTGGATCTCTGCCTTTTCTCCTTCCCCTCGGAGCTGTTAGACACAGATATAAGTCTCTCCAACATCCATATCCTCCTTGTACAAATAAGATTTAGAGGCCCATGAGAAGGATACCCCCACCCACCACCACCACCACACACCATCCTCACCTCCACCCCACTTCCTTGCTCTGCTCTGTCACCAGGATTTGCCACCTTTTTGCATCATGTCCCTGACCTCTTCACTCCTCAGTCAGTGAGATTAGCACGGAATGTAGGTTGTAGCGCAGCCTGGGAGAGTTAACAGGATTTGAAATGGGAGTGCGTGTCCGTCCGATTAGCAGCGGACGTCTAGACCAGTGGTGACGAGGCAGCGGTCGAGTCAGTGGACGGGATTTGTCTGTTATGATGACCAAGACGTGGTCACAGAGTTTTGGAAAAATCTTTAGTTTATATATGTAAGAAGTCAAAAGAACAACTGGAGAACAACTTTTCTTTCTTGCTTCACTCTCACTCAACTGAAACAAACCAAAGTGAATGTGCTGGAGTCCTGATCAATGGAAATTTGACCTTCAAGGCAACAGCTTTGTAGTTCATTCAACATTTCAAATAATGAATACTGTTTTGATGCCGTCTCACGTTCTAGTTCACGCCTTCAGATAAGAATGGAATTTCACATTTGTTTGTCTCTCTGCTGGGAGAACTGGCCTTAATTTAATTTGCATTTTTTCTGCTAAGACATCATCAAAAATGTACTTTTTTGAAAGGTTACACTAACATAAAGAAAACAGTAGCGTTTGACCAACTGGATTTATAGGCCAACAGCTCAAACACGGACTTTTCTTCACAGCAGATCATCTGCCTCTAACTCACTTCCTCCTGCCCTCATTAACTGTTACATCGACTAATCAATTATTCTTCATGTCATTCACTTTGCCTATGAATCTTCCCTGTGGTGATCGTTCATTCCTCCTGCCTGGTAACATAATCTCTAACCTCCTTGGTGCTCAGTACCCATCGTCTCTTCATCTTGTTTCAGCAGCCAGTTCCTAATCCCAATCCTGGACACCGTCTGATGAAATCCCAGCTCCACCTTGAAAAAGAAAAGATATGAAATTAACGTGAAACCAAATGAAATTGATATTTAGTAATACATTTACAAAACGTTTTTGTGTGGACGGTATCTGAACAGACACATTGGATTTTACATAATTCACATTAAGAAAAATTCCCACTTCTGAAAACCAAACATGGAAATTAGACCAATCCTTGTAAGTCCTTGAAAGTCTTTGAGCTATTTATAGCTCTCCTTCTATCAGGAGGAAACAGCAGTGAAGGAGCCGGGAAAAAACACCCGGCGTGAAGTAACTGATTTGTATTCTAGAATAAGGGTCGTTAATTATACGGGATGGAAAGTTAATAACATGGGAAATGTGTGAAAATGTGACAGTGGATTTGGATTTGGACTGTCCACTCTGAGTGTCTCCAATCAAAATCAAGTGTGTCCATTCCTCAGTCAGGTTTCAAATTCAAAGATCTGACTGGAATTGTCTACATTTGAAGCTCGGAAGTGTCTTTTCAGGCACGAAGAGTGAGTGACGATAAACAAACCAACCTTGAAAGTAAAGAGAAAACACACACGGACCTGTTTATGTCAAGAAAACAACAACAAACAACAGTGATCAACAAACCACACACTTCAACTCCATCAACTCCCACAGATACCGATTCTTATTGACAATCCTGAGTGTGTGTCAAACTCTGAAAGCTGAAAGTGTGTTTGTTTTGAATGTGACTTTGAAAGAATGGAGGCAGATTACATCACCAACCTTGAAGATTTCCCAAAGTCCCCTTGAAAACTCCTGAATAATTAATAGCCTGTCAGTCAGATCAAATAAAAATCGGAGATAAAATCAACCGGGGGCCAATGGGACTGTTCTGTGCTGCTCTGTTAACTACGGCAGTAAACGATATAAAAACATAAACAGTTTTCCTCCTATTTTCAGACGACAAACTTATTTGATCAAACTTTGACTGACTTTAAATTCCAACTACGTTGTGTCTACCTTGATTTTTACTGCCATCGTAACTGTTCAGGTTAATTAAGTGGAGTAGAATTGGTAAGGAGCAACCTAATGGACATGAGCGTTGATTGACAGCGCGGAGGGAGCGCTGGACCACTGAGAGCTTTTTATAATAGACCAGAGAGGCTGTAAGCGCTAAGTGAAAGTGACTGACAGTTACTGCAGTTCCGTGTGGAGCTGTGATGTCAGAGCAGGGAGGAGGAGACTGTGAGGAGAGAGTGAAGGGGGGGGGGAGTAGAAAGAACAGGTAAAAGTTGGAGAAATACTGCATACAGAGACTTTATTTTCAAGTATATAAAAATACAGCTCTGACAAAGTGCACTTTCTATATGCAGAACACCAAGGATTTTTTTGACAGTGCAGAACTGAGTCCAACGTTCAAATCATACACAGCTGTGGAATGTTAGTCCTGGTAAATGTCAGTGGGTCCTGACTCGTCCTCTACAGAACGTCGACTTTATTGGATTAAATGAACCAGTCTATATGAAAAGTAAAAACAAAAGGTGAGAAAGTATCAAATATAAACTACCAGGTCCATAAAATGACTCCCATCTCAGAGGTCGGTGACATTTTTAGGTAACCTGTTATTTGGTATTCCAGAGATTCTTTTTAAACAAATACTGGGAAGTGAATCAGTTTTCAGGCTGGAACTCAAGCTGTTAGGTCTCTGTACGGTCTACGTAAGTGGAACTCACATTAAACCGTCGAGGACAGAGAACAGAATTCCATCCATGCTAAAAGTGCTGTACTCCAAGCACAACATCTGATTTGCTTCAAAATGGATTTTTGTTAAAGATAATGTTTAACGTTTATTTACACTTTCCTGAAAATCTCAACCACTGTGGTTTTTTTATGGGAAAAAAAAATCAATCACTAGTGATGACTCTGATTTGTTTTTTCATTTTCTTTTTTGTATGATGGCTATAAAAACTGACATGAACACCTTGAATGACAATGAGAGCTTAAACAAAAAAATAAGCAGATCCATCTGTTGCTGCTGGGATGAAAACACTGACTGGGAGACACACGTCTATGGATGATGTGATTGTTTAGGAAGGCAGCAGCAGCAGCGGTGGTGTCTGCGTGTGCGGCTTTAGTTTGGTGAAACAAAACCTGTGTGCGTGTGCGTGTGTGTGTGTGTGTATGTGTGTGTGTTTGTGTCTCGTTGTGTGATGGACAGATGACCAGCCTTCTCTCTTTACAGAGGAATCAATAATCGGCTACCACTCCTCATGGGAAGTCTCTTTGCTGGGCTTCAGGCTTCTCCTCTGTGTGGGTTTCCATGGGAACTGTCTGCGTGCGTGCGTGTGTGTGTGTGTTTATGCGTTTGTGTGTTTAAAAGACAGAAGAAAAGGTGAAAATAGCAGATGAAGCACAAACACATAAACACATAAACCACAGTAGGAAAGAAGGCTGCGAGAGACAATAGAAGACAGAGAGGACCACCTCGGGTCGCACTCGTCTCCCCTCTAATATATAACAGTCCTCTCTAAGTGCCGGCTGTCAATGTGTTCTTTTGCCTCTCAGTTGATCTGCCCCACCAGGGGGAGGCGCGTGGAGGTCTTGAATGTAATGTTGAAAGCCACAGGCTGTCTAAAAGCAAACGTCGCCACACAAACCCCTCTACTAATCCTGGGGAGATCCTGAGTGGCAGAGCAGGAGGAAGAGGAGGAGGGGGAGGTGGAGGTGGAGGTGGAGGGGGAGGAGGGGTAGGTGGAAGAGGAGGGGGAGGTAGAGGAAGAGGAGGAGGTGGTCTGTGGTCTGCTGCTCAGCTGTCCAGTCTGAAAGTGAGGCAGCACTGATGCATATTCAACACTGTGCTGAAGGGGGACCAGGGTGGGAGTGTGTGAGGAAATCAGGGACAGAAGAGCCACTTGCTGGACAACACACACACACACACACACACACACACACACACAGACACAGGCTGGCATATGGCGGCAGCTGCCCGGCACGTGCTGTGTGCGTGCATGGGTAATGAGCCTCGCCTCTCCGCGGGGACGCGCCTCACTTGATGAAAAGATGAAAGAATTATGGGAAGGGGTGAGGTGCAGTGAAACTTCTCCTCCTGTGATCCATATCTGTTGATTTAAGTGGCCTCTCGTCTCACTGCCAAACTCTGTGCCAGCGTTCAAGTCTACAACAAACTGTGTTCATTTAATGCTTGGCATAAAAACGCTTTTCTTGAAGACGCCACGACTCATGCCCCTGAGGTTAAACATCTGGTTATTTTTCCGTCTTGGTACAGGTGAAAAAAAATCTTCTTTTTCTCTTCCTTTTGTAAGAAGACTAGCTGCAGGGCATGATGGGGTTTTTTCCAAAAATGGAAAGTGAAATAATATGAATATTTAAACTGCTAAGTTTTTTAATTACAAAGTTAATCTTAGCAGTCAAAAAACAATTAATTTAACTAGTGGACAGATTTTGTGTGTGTGTGTGTGTGTGTGTGTGTGTGTGTGGCCTGACCATGTGTTTAGATGTGAGGGGTTCACTGAGGGGTGAGAACAACTGTGTTGATTGTTCAGTCAGTCAGTGACCTGACCATTGAACAGAACGGGTGATGGAGAATGGAAAGAGGAAGACAAGGAAAACGTGTGAGAGGACGACGGTGGCGGTGGAGAGATGAAAATCGAAAGAAAAAATGAATGCCAAATAAGAGAGGAAGAAAGGAAGGAAGGGCGAGAGACAAAGGTTAAAGAGTGAGGAGATGAGAGTGGGAGGTTGTTAGAAGAGAAAGATCGACAGGGAGTGAAATAGCGTTGGGTTGGGATGTGAGGAAGAAAATGGAAAAAAAAAAAAAAAAAAGCCAGGAGTGAGAACGGTGACATTTATGAAGCTGCATATATGCAGCGCTGATATAAATATCCTGATATAAATATCCTGTTTGTCGTTGTTTGCCTGCTTTACATCTACACCACCGAAAACTTCCTGACTGCCACAGACTCCACTGCAGATTAACAACATCTCCATGAAGACACATCCTCCCAGGCTGAATGATCATCCCCGACTGGCTGCTGAAAAATTCTTCACTGAACATGAAGTACACACTCAGTCCACTGGTGATCAAAGTTAATAATAAAGCTCCTCCAGCAAATGAAGGATCAATGATTTTAGCATCCTAAGGAGACTGTGATTGGTCATTACTACACAGCAGAAATCTTGCAGCGCAGTCAGAAATGAGGTCAAAGCCCAGTTACCAGTTGTAGGTTTTAACATCTGTCTAATGTCTGGCCATGTCTTTTGTCCAGTGTAGCCTGTGAACTGCAGTCCAGGTCCAGTTAAAGCACCGGATCCAAGACTGAAAAAGAAAACCAGCAAAAACAAAAAAAAAAAAGCATCAAATACATTCTGTGTGGAACTTTACCAAAAGAGGTTGTAAATCCTCTGTTTGGCTGCTGTGTAGCCAGAAGGAGTTCTGCTTCAGTCAATGCACTGACACAATGTTGACCGTTTGAAGTTCTATTTGTGCCTGAAATAGAACATGGAACAGGATTTCACTGTTGTGTTGTCTCTGAGGTTGATGAGTCTGTAGATCTGACACATTATTGAGTTTTTCCACAGTATAGAAATAGAGGACGTCACATATGTAAAACCACATGACACACAATGTTTCAAGAAAGATGAGGACAGTGTTGGGGGGAGAAACACGGCGTTTTCCCCGAGAGATGTTCCAATTTACAGCACAGTGAGTGCGAGGCAGTCGGCCGCTCACTCAGGAACACGGACTGGTTGTAAATGAGTTACACGTTGGACTGAGCAACAATTCCTCAGCAGCAAATCTTTATCGCAATTTCCATGATGACAGTGACACAGTTTGATGTTCTACAAAACACTGAAATGCAAAAGGAGCGTCTTCAGAGGTTCGATGACCTTTTTTCATAACAGCAAATCAACAAAACAACACAGACACTGATGAATCGCATTGGGTTTACGTTCCTGTAGAACCTACACTCCCCCCACCACAAGTTAGTATTTCTGATCTTATTTAAAATAAAAAAAGGTAAGATTTAAATCTATTCAGTCGTATGGTGTATAATTTTTTTTGTGAATTCAGAGGAGCGGTAGAGAAGAGTTTCAGAAAGTTTCTCTAAAAGGTCAAATCAAATACCAAAATATCTGCGTTGAGGTCACAGGTTTTCAGCAGCATGGAGTTAATTTGATTTTGGTACCAAACCAAATGTATTGTTTTAAAAAAACTGGTCTTTTCCACAGCAGCTCAAGCAGAAACACGTCATCTGTGAGTGGTCTTTCTTAAAGACTTGGAGCTTTATCTTCGTCACGCGGCTGCTGCTGCAGCAACACACCGGGGTGACAAATAAAGCCACTCACCAGAGGAGACAAGCAGACTGGTAATCAGCCTCCAAACCAATCTGTAATCTGACTCTAAACATCGTTCAACATCACCACAGCCCATTCTCTCAGCGCGTCTGTCTTGGACCCGAGTCAAACTGCATTCATATTCAAATCACCATTGCTTTGTGCAGGTCTGGCTGTGGTTTCTGTTTCACCCAGTCTGTCTGTTTGGCACCAGGCGAGTCAGGCTGCAGCCGAGCTCCGACGGAAATCACACCAAATTGATTCAATATTGGATCCAGGAGAAGGAGCTGTGTCTTATTACAGTCCAGTATGAGGAAGTTTGGGCTCTGCTTCACTGTATAGGATTACATTAATGCACACAGGAAAAGCAATGGCTTTTAACAATTGAATTTTTCTCACATTAGAGTCAGTGAGGCAGGTGAGATGCTGGTAGGTTTAAGAATTACACTAAACACAACAGACATCATTTTGACATGAACATTTTCTAAGAATAATCCATTGAGGGTTTTTTTAATACAATAAATATTTTTCAATTTCTTATTGGACACAATATGAGTTAATAGCTGTGTAGGAGAAAGTCCACACCATAAAGAGTGTGTTAGTATCAAAGGTAGATTAATGCAGATTGGTGTTAGGATAACCAGAGTGTGTACATATCGTTACTCCCCAGCAGGGGGTGCCCAACACAATTTAAAGTTCCCAATCTGTGCATCAGGGTTTGTGGCATGACATTGTTTGACAAGGGGAATCCTGATGAACCACTCCATATTCTGACAGATGTGAGCCACAGGTTGATTACCGCAGCACAGACAGATGGACAGGAGGTCTGACTTTTGTCTGTTTGACCACAGAGCCCCAGTTATCTGTATAACCTGCAGACCTGAACACCGTCAGCAATTTCAAGAAATCTTAAAAACTGTTCTGTTGAGATGTATGGCCTCAGATTATATCAATAATCCACTGGTTTAGTCAGAGATTTCTAACTGACCATAGTGTGATCAGAGCAGCCCCCATAATCCATCAGTGTCTCCAGAAACATTTCCTGTCTTTATAACTCCCAAACAGAAAATACAGACAGCAACTTGGAATCATCGTTGACATTCAGCATCTCTGTGCAGACAGATTGACTTTGACAAACTAATTATCAAGGAAATCATCGGTGTTGAATAAGATGGAAAATACTGGGGTTTTGCTGAAGAAACCACAAACAACAAGTGACAAGAATCTACAGGCATGAAACTGTGCAGAACCAACAGGAGCCCAATCATCATGCATTACTGTTCTCTGTATGAACTGTTGGCAACAGACAATTATGCAACACAGACATCCAATTGAGTTTTCACATGGAGCAGGAACGGAAACTCTGCTCTATAAATCACCTGGCCTGTCTGCAGAGGTCAGACGGCAGCCTGATACCTGCAGACAGCTGGTTAACTGTGTTAGCTTCCCTACAGGGACACACTGACCACAGAGGAACACACACACACACTTAAATTTCTTTCTACAGCTAAACAATCAAAACAGCAATGCTCCAGATTTTCAATTATTATTCTTTATCCCAAAAGGCCAGATGTCAAATGTGTACGTTTTACTTGAAATATGTGTTTGCTCATTATAATAACCCGTTTTCTACAAAGTACTAAGTACAAAGTGCTAACCAACCGCCCACTGAGGAGAAGGGAGGCCTCAGATATGAAGTCAGGCTGCTCTGAGCCTCTCTTCAATTCAAGCACGGCCTAATAGGCGTGTATTTTTTTCCACAGACAGATTTAGTTGTCTGAGCCTTTGTCTCTGAGATCTCATCATGTTCCCAGGTGGTGGGAGGTCAGACAGGCTGAGTGGAGTTAGTAATAACCCTCCAAACCATTAAACAAACCTATTCTGAATCCCATCTCCCCACATTCTGGACCGGCTACAACAGGCAGGTATTAAAGCCTATTGTACTGGAGGAGCGCTCCGTCACTCAGTTGACAGCATAATCGTAGCTAATGCTAGTTTAAGTTGCGCGGTAAAGAGCTACACTACCGGGAATACGGAGGGAATAACCTCGTCTTTTATTTCAGTGTAATTACTGATTCAAAGAACACGGCGGAGCCTTGAGATGAACATTAGAGAAGAGAAGAAGGAGGTGATCAGCGGAACAGGGAGAACACCTCACTTCATGTTCTCTGGAGGTTTTTCTCCAGACTGCCAGGCGTCTTAGGGCATTTGCATTTCCACATTTACATTCAGCCTAATGACAGATCTCACGTATGATAAGTGCACGAAGATTGTTGGGAATCATAACAATAGACCTGTTATCCATGAAGGAAAGATTTTTCCTTAAAAGTGCAGTCCTTTCCTATTCTTTATTCTTCTTTTATAATGTCTGAAGAATGTTAAAAAAAATCTGAAAATCTCAATATTTGAGACACTTCTTCAAAAAAACATCTTTTATTTTCTATTGATGAATGTTATGTGTTAACTGACAGTTTTGGTTGGAAAAATATTTCCTACACAACCTAAGCCTGCGCTGAGTCGCTCGGTCCATTTCCTATGTACGGTCCACTCCTTCCACAATGCATTATGAAGGAGCTGCGGTGTGTGTGTGTAGGAAGTGTGTGTTTCACCAACAATATGTTGAACTGAGAAACCATAGAGTAGCTCTCGCTGTTACTCAGTCACACACACACACACACACACACGGACGGTCTGTTGTGCTTTCAGCTCACTGGGGGTTCATCACACACTCACCCACACCCTGGACTCCCCACTGCTCCTCCCTAATCACAAACCTTGGATATGCACTTTGATTGTAGTCTCTCTCTGTGTGTGCGCGTGTGTGTGTGTAGAAAAATACTGTATTAGCATACCGTATCAGTGCACCACAGTTAGCGTGTTCAAAGGGGTTTTGTGTGTGTGTGTGTGTGTGTGTGTGTGTGTGTCTGATGGCTGTGACTGAACACTGATGTGCATTTGTGAAGTTTTATAAAATACTTCAATAGACGACTTGTAAAAGAATCTCTAGAAAGATTACATTTTAAAAAGAGATTTTTCTGTGTCCTGGGGATTTAAAGATAATTGAGATAAATGTTGTTTAATAGCATTTCAAGCTATTTTAGACTGAAAAACACAATCACAATCACATTTCCTGGTAATAAAACGTCCTGATAATGCTTTTGCTAATAACACCTTTTTATACACAAACACCCAGATAAATATATACATCTACAGTTGGCAACAAAAAGGAGAAAACATTAATTCAGTGTGTTTGTCACAGCAGGAAGAAAAATTCAAATTTCACAAAGTCAGGCTCAGGAACAGAACCAATTATTTTAACTGGGCTGAGAAAACTCACAGTAGCCAGTCAGTCAGAGGGAGCAGGAGGCTGAGAGCAGGACACCAACCATGGAACTCAGCCACGTGTTAACAGACGGGATCACCCAGCAAACATGCACCGACATCAGGCAGCAACGGTGGAACAGCAACAATGAACTGAGCAGTCAGAGTGACAGACCCAGGTCAGTACCAGGTGAGACCAGTGAGACTGATTAGAGTGGAGCTGGACACAGGTGAGTGTGATTAACTGAATACCAGAGAGAGAGAGAGAGGGAGAGAGACAGAAGAGAGACAGAAGAGACAGAGGGGGGTTCTGTTCACTGACACAGATTTCCAACAGCTGGATTAGACAATGAGCAGCATCATGGACAGTGGTGTAGTGGTGTGTGGGGGGTGGGGGGGGGGTACTGCTGCCATTCAAATAGCAGTGTAACTGTATGTGACTCTCAGGTACAGCTGACTTTAGTGAATTTCCCCATTGTTTGGTGAATAAAGGACTTCTTATCTTAAATATGCAAACTGCCTTCATGGAGGCTGGAGATCTTAAACAGAGAGAAACCATTAGGCAGTGATGCAGAGGAGGACAGAGAGGGAGAGAGGGGGGGAGGGGGGAGGGAGTCAGAGAGGATGTGGGTCTGTATAACAGCTGCTGCAGCAACAGTTTATCAGATTAAATCTAACCATCTCCACTGACCGAGGGAGAGTTAACTGATGGCCCCAGTACATCCATGTTAGTCCACACTGACCATGACGCTCGATGCTAACTGTATGCTAAATAGTTTGTACATCGAGCATGTTAAACAATAATTTAAAATATACAAATGTTCAAACTCCAACCCGGACCTTCATCACATGCTGTGACCAAACACAGACCTCAGGACGCTGCACTGGTACAGAGTCACATGACCGCCTGCTCTGCATTACTGGTTTTTAATTGCTTTGTCTGCGTCTCCTAATATCTCTGGTCAGATGTCCTGCAGCAACTCTGTGTTTAATTAGATTCACTCACCAATTTACTTTGGTTGTTGCCCAGGGCCACAGCTTGATTAACCCCCAAACTGGAGCTCTGCACTTCAGCGACGGTCCAGATGATCACAGGTTGTTCCAGGACTTCGTTTGGTTGAACGGTAACTTCACATCTAAACCCTGTGGTTAAAACAAATTAAAAATCACATTTTTACAACCGTCTTTTGATTAATCCGAGTGATTAGTGATCAAATCATCCATTCTCTGTAGGGCTGCAGGTGTAATTTTGGCCAAATTCGGCGCAAATATTTGTCTTTTATTTATTTGATTATATTTTTTCCTTTTTGATTTTTAAAAATCTCCGTTGTCTCTTCCTGTTATTGGTGTCAGATGTCACGTTACTCCCGTTGAATTCCTTTCTATCACAACCCACTACACACACAGTCGTAATATTTCCTGTGTCGAAACCACTCAGAGTTTTGTGACACTAAAATGTGCGCTGCGTCTCAAACCCTCAGCGACGACTCCTCATGTTGACCCTCATTTAGTCAGAGCGACACAGGCTGCTGCAGCGCCTTTTTGATGTCTATGTTTTTTTAACACAGAATAATTTATCCCACAGGTGGAGCATCATGTTCCGCCTCCTCCACCCAACCCCCCCATCTCCCACATGAGCCTTGGCTTCGGGGGGAAAACTGCAGCTCACAGCAATTAGATTTCCCCAGAATCCAAATGTATACAATCATCCAGTTCTAAATGTATTCAATTAATGAACTACACAGGGCCTATTTTACCACACCACCCCCTCCTCCAGACTTGTCATCATGACCACCACCCACCACCCCCACCACGTCGCTGTGACAGTGACACATTTGCAGCTGTTTGGATTGTAATAGAAGGGGCAGGGAACAGAAAAGTGGCCACATGTTGAATGAAGCAGGACGCTGACTCTCTGCTGTCAGGAGATTATTCTACAGTAGCAGCCAGCGAATCATCTGTCGTCAGCCTGAACATGGAGGAGGTCTGAGTGTCCTGCAGCAGCCCCCACCCTTCATCCATGATCGCATCAGAATGGTTACAGTTTATAAGAACAGGATAAGACAGAGCTTCCCTCGGTGGAAACATTAACACTGCACAGAGTTTATTATTAATATAATAATAATAGTGATGATGATGATGATTATTATTCTGTTTGCACCTTTTTTCGTGCTTTAATTATATATGTCACATGTGTAATTATATCAATCACAGGATAACCAAGGATTAATCACAGTTAATCATGATTTTAATTGTGTCTGTGTAGGTTCTCAGTTATTCTGGGCATCTGGACTGGTAGGTTTTTCCGAAAACATTTCACCTCTCTTCAGGAACAAACCCTACCAATCCACTTGGCCTTGATGGATCTACTTTGGACACAATTAATTGTGATTGTAATTAATCAACAATCAACCATTTGTTTTGTTGTGTATAGTGCAGGGAGATATCTGTGTTTCATGAGCTGTATTGTCGTTTCGTCTCTTTCGTGATGATGCAGGTTTGGCACAGTGTGGACAGCGAGGAAACAAACTCCATCTTAAAGGCTGTTTTTTTTAATTATTATTGAAGTTTAGAGGCTGTGCCCAGAAACCTGTACTGTCCTCCAGGGGGTTTCTCATTCTGTCAATCATTAATTTGCTTCAGTTAAGTCTTTGGGCTTAATAAATCTTTAAAAAATATAAAATATATATCAGCTAGACAATGAAAGCACTATTTGGAGCTTTTTTCTATATTTGATGAGCCCTAGTGGTCAGCTGTGGTGCTTCACCTGGACCTGCGTTTTAGTGGAGACTTCAAAAATGGAACCCAGAGGAAACATCAATCTGATATTTACAGCCTCTGCTGTTGGGGAAAGACTATAGTCACCTTTCATATAAGTAGCACAGTACGTTGTGTTGTAGTACTAGTATCTTTACTTCATTCTTATTTAGTGACTAATGTGTAAAACGACACTTCTTTAAGCAGGAGCATGAATTAAGTTAAATTTAGTCCCGACTGTAATTCCCACTTGGGTAACAGCAGATCCAGGTGGGAAAATGAAGTAGGTCGTATTCATCACAAACAGGAAGTGGCTTTGTCAAACCTGCTGCCTGACTGCTCCAGTAAATTCCCAGCATCCTTTGCTTCCTCTTCCTCTCCACACCTTACTGCTGAGTCAGTGAGAAACTCTCTGACCTGCACAGGATGAACACATCTAAAACAGAAGGTCGTGTCCAGACAGGAAGGATATTTTTCAGCCCTGCATCAGTTTAGCTGACGTTCCTGTAGTTTCACAGTAGTCGGTCGTTTCACCTGGAAGACAGAGAAATAAAGGAAAATGCAATGTTTGTTGAGGTCAGAGGGTTTGTGTTTGTATGAACATGTCGCTCGCTTCCATCGGTATTGTTGGTTTACAAACACAAACACACACTAAATTGAATGGACACAGAGAAAACACAACAATGTGTGATATCTACTCACAACCGAGAATTTCTTTTCAGGAGAAATGTATTATATGTCATTTGAGTGGCGTGTTTGACTGTTTAACTGTTTTTTAGAAATGTTAATTTAATGCTAGCATTCTATGCTAAGTTTTATTTTATTTTGCTAACATTTAGCCATTTCTTGGCTAATTTTTATTTTTTTATCCATTTATGAAGTCTAATTTTTATACTGGCTAATTTAAAGGTAGTTTTTAGCATTTAGGTTTTTTTTTATTTCAATATCTTCTCCTATAACATTATTGTATATTCCTGTGTGTTTTCGACTTTTTCTCCATTTTTGTCCTACCTTTTGTTTTATTAATTAGATATTTGTGGATCCTGAACCTTTTGAGACCCGCTCTGTTAAACGGACTAAGAAACAACACGATTAGTCGCTCTCTTGCCAATGTCTTCACTGCCAAGAAACTAGATCAGAGTGAAACACACGTCACGGCTCTATCTGTGTGTTTGCTGTCATTATCACCTGTTGCTTCTACATTTTTTGGCTCTACCCCAGCTGCATGTTGGCTGCAGTCCTCCTCATCTCTAGATCATCATTTGTTACAGCCTGTTCCCCTCACTCTCTCTCTCTCTCTCTCTCTCTCTCTCTCTCTCTCTC